ACCCCACAGGGGTTCTGTGAGGATCAATTATGTACATAAAACACAGAGCTTAGCCCAAAGTAAGCACTAAGTGAGTGGTTTTTTTTATCATCATCATCATTAGGCAAGCTCCTGAGGCTGGAAAGACAGAAAAAGCCCAGGTCCTTTACGACATCACTGATTCATTTAAGTAACCGAGCCTGAAACCTCTCCACCTCGGGGCTTCTGGTTAGAGAAAACGGTACAGTTTCCTTACAGTTCGAGCCAGCGTTTTTCAAATAGCAGATTACGCAGGTCAGGAACTCCACGAAGTGGGTCATGATCAGCATTTTTTAAAAATGAAATCAAATGAATAGACACTATCACGTGCAAAAAGGGGCTCATGAGCCTGCGGCAGATGCTCCCCCACCTGCCTCTCCCTCCTCTTCCCGAGCACAGAGACTACACTTCCCAGCCTCCCCTGCAGTGCGCTGTGGCCAGGGGAGCTCCAGCTGGGGTGGTGGAGGGAAGTACATCCCCGCGGACTGTGGACCTGGCCCTGAAAGCCCCACAAACCCATCTCCGAGGGGGCTGACAGAGGCACAAGAGGGAAGGGGTCTGGGTCCCCAGATACAAGAAACTGCCCGCCAGCCCAAGGAGGGTCCTGCTGCGCTGGCCGTCCTGGCAGGGGGTGTCCTCGTCTGGTCTACGAGCAGCTACCAAGATGTGAGCCACCACGTAACACGTGTCCAGAAAGCCCGGCTCTAAACGCCACTTGTTGATGGGTTTTCTGTTATAGCTGAAAGCACTCCACTGAGTCACGAGGTTCCTCCAGTGACCCTGCGAATCTGGGGGACAATTCTCCCCTCAAAGTGGCATCTGACATTCGGGAGAGATGAACACCCCGGTGGCCTGGCCAGCCCCGCCCTTCTTGGCCCTGAACTCTGGGACGGTCTCGTCTAACCGCCTCCCGGTCGTCCCGGGCACCAGCGCTCGGGACGGAGCCCTCCCCGCCCTGCCTCACCTGCAGCACCATCGCGTCCAGGGCTACCCTCCGAATCTCGGGGACGGCGTAGGGGGCGAAGGCTTCGTAGTCCGACTCGGCATAGAGGCGGAAGCAGACGCCGGGGCCCGTGCGGCCCGCCCGGCCCTTCCGCTGCTCGGCACTGGCCTGGCTGATCCAGAACTCCTGCAGCCGCTGCACCTTGGCCTGGGGGTCGTAGCTCATCTCCTTGACCTTGCCTGGATTGGAGGAGGGGCAGGAGGGAGGGCCTCTGTGAGCGGCACACGCCTGGCCCCCTCCCGCCCCTTCCTCACTCCCTTACTCCCCTAACCCTGACCATGACCATAAGCCCATTCTGGACCTGACGCTGACACCGCGTTAATGTATTCTTTCGTTTCCTCGTTCACACATCTTTTATTTACTCAAGCCTTTGCTTATTCAGCGGCTCAGTCATGTGACAGGTATTATGAAGCACCTACTATGTGCCAGGCACTGTCCTCAGCAACAAAGAGATAGCTGCGAACAAGACGAAACAAAGTCCCTGGGCTCACAAAGCCAAAGAGACACCATGTCTCATCAATTCTAAGACCAACCTTTTCTCATATTGTATCGTCTCTGACATGCCTTAAAATCAACGGCATGTCCATGGTTAATGGGCGATGTTTTAAAATTTTTCTTGATGGAATAAAAAATCGTGGAATGTTTTATCACTGGCATCCCAGATTCGATACTATAAGGTAAGTGCTGACATTTACGGAGTGTTCGCTCTGTGCCAGGTACCATCCTGAGAACCCGAATGTATTAACTCGTTTCATCCTTACAACCTAAGAGAGGCACTGTCATTACTGCCATTTTATAAATGAGCAAACTGACACAGAGAGAGTGTCAGTGACACAGCCTGGGTCCCACAGCCAGCTCTGAATCTGGCCAGCCTGGTTCCAGTGTCCCCTGACCACTATGCTCTGCTGACTTTCCAGAAAACAGTCTAGTTAAGAAGACAGAAAATGAATAGATCAACAGATATAAAATACGATGCCCATACTAGGAAGAAAAATAAAGCCCCATAAGGGGAGCAAGAGCAGAAGAAGGGGGAGATTACTCAGATTAAGTGGACGAGGTGGGCCTCTAATGGGGACCCATTTGTGCAGGCCCTGGAAAAAGATGAGGGAGCGAGCCGCGTGGCTATCTGGAGAAAGACAGCTCTAAGCAGAGACAACAGTCAGTGCAAAGGCCCTGGAGCAGAATCAAGCTTAGAACGACTGAGAAAGATGAAGACGTTGCCGCTGCTCCAAAGCCCTAAACGCCTCCCACTCCCCGCTTTGCTCCGGCACAGACACCTGCATGTCCCCAGACCCCACACTCCTCTCCAGGTCCCCGGGGTGCTGGGCGGGGCAGCCCTCACCGGAATCCACCACGAAGCGGATCCCATCAATGGTGACTGAGGTCTCGGCGATGTTGGTGGAGAGAATGCATTTCCGGACTCCTGGGGGGGCCACGTCGAATACCTGGGGGAAGAGTAAGGAGGGGACATCAGGGACTAACTCAGCCCTTACTGACCCCTGGAAGGTCCCATGGGCACCTCAAACCAGCACATCTAAAGCAGCCCAGCACCCCCCACTGCACCCTCTCCTCCTCCACATCCATCTTGGAGATGGCTCATCATTCATGTCACCCGGGGCCAGGAACCTGGGCTGTCCCGGGTCCTCCCCTCCCCTCCCGACATGAACCTCTTCGATTTCTTGATGTCATGCCCCCACTCCACACCCGCCGCCTCCGCCCTGGTGCAAGCCCCTCCTTTCCCACCCAGGCCCTGCTCCAGCTTCCTCCTTGGTCTCTGGCCTCTGGTCTCACCCCGTCCAGTCCGTCCGTCACACACAAAAGAGGGACCCGCTAAAGCACAAACTAGCACTGGCCTCGCCTTGCTCAGAACCCTCCTGCGGCCCCCAGAATGCCATGGCCCCACACTGGGTCCGCGAGGCCCCCCGTGGTCTAACCCTGCGTACCTGTCTGGCCCCACCTCTCCCAACTTCCCCGTCACAGTAAGGACCTCAGCGGCTGAGAGCTGGGGTCAGCAACTGCAGCCTGGGGGCCGAATCCAGCCTGCCGCCTGTTTTTGTGAATCAAGTTTTCATGGCCCACGGCCTCGGCTGGTCAGTCTGCTTAACGGTAGAGTTGAGACATGGTGACAGAGATCACGTGGCCCACAAAACCTAAAAACACGTGCTGCCTTGCCCTTCACATAAAGCTGGCCAACCCCTCCCTAATGAATGGCATGGGCTCTGGTGCCAAATTGCCACGTTCCGCAGACTGGCTCTGCCACTTACGGGCCTTTGCTCACATCTCGGCTTCACATCTGCGAAGCGGGGACGGCGGCTGGGCCGGGCAGGCAGGACTGCGGTGAGGACGAATGAGACGGGTCGGATGCAGAGCTCAGACTCCTCCCACAGTGCTCCACGCACCACACCTGGGACACTCCTTCCCGCCCCCTTCCCCAGCTGGGTCTTCCCAAGTCTGTTTTGAAAGTCCTTCCCCCAAGAAACTCGGCCCGAATCCATGAAGACTCTGCTCGCAGAGCTCCAGAGCTTCCGTCTACTGTTCGGAAAACTGTCAATTACTTGTCCTTTCCCTCGACAGACACAAGGGGAGGCTCCAAGGAGGTGCTCGGAGGCTGTGTCCTCAATCGATAAACAACTGACTGTGACCTGAAGGAACTGTTCCCCAAGGTGACTCCAGCAGGCAGCTCCCAGGACAGTCCGGGATGCCCTGGCCCCGGATTCCCAGCCTCGCCCTGTACCTTCCCACCGAGCGGGACTTAACCAGCGAGATGCTGCGGAAATGACGGATCGTGATTCCCAACACTAGGTCACAAAAGACGTTGTGGCTTCTGCTCTGGCATCTCAGAACCAGCCACACGCTGTGGGGACACTCGAGCAGCCCCCTCGAGAGGCTGCATGGAGGGGAACTGAGGCCCCAGGTAACAGCCAGCCATGTGAGTGCACCATCTTAGGAGAGGACCTCCCGGCCCTAGTCACGGTGTCAGATGAGTGCAGCCCCAGCCGACCCCTGACTGCGCCCTCAGGAGACCTGAGCCGGTACTGCAGACTACGCCGCTCCCAAACCCGACCTACGGAAACCACGTGACATAATGCATGTTCCTTGCTCTAGATTCATCGCTGCTAAGTTTTGGGGTGATCTGTCAACAGCCTCTATCCCGGCACCCTTCCGCTCCAGCAAGGTGGTCTCCTCACCTTTCCCCACGCCCACCTCACAGATCCCCGCCTCCAGCCTTCGCTCACGCTGGTCCCCTCCGCCAACTGTCTTCCTCCCTCTTCTCCTGCTCAAAACCCTCCTTGTCCTCCAAAGCCTCCCACGTCACCAGGAAGGCGCCCTGGCACATACCCCTCCTCCCGAAAGCTGTGAGCAGCCCTTCTGCGGCCCGTGGCCCTGAACTTGTGGAGTCACGCCCCTCCTCCCCCGCGCCCCACCCTGCCCGGCTGCATGCTGATACCTTGTCCTGGTCGGCCACAGAGAGGGCACTGTGCAGTGGCAGCACCACCCAGCGCTGGGTGTGGCTGGCATAGGTCTGGGCAGCCTCGAGCACGGTGCTGATCTCGGCCATGCCGCTGAGGAAGACGAGGAGGTCACCCCGCTCCTCCGATGGGTACTTATTGTCGATGGCCTCCAGCACCCTCAGGTAGGGCCTCGGGTCCAGCTTCTCCGACTTGGATGTCGCTGGCTCGACCTCCTGCGGCTGGTACACGACCTACGAAGAGAGAGACAGCCCCAGGCGGGAGCGCACCCTGTCACTCCAGCTTGGAGCAGAGGGGCAGGGACACCACGGGCCGACGGAGAAGACACAAAGCAGTCAGAAGGCAGACAGCACGCTCAAACAGGATCATTTGAGGAAGACGAAGTCTAAGGACAAAGTATTACGACTTCTGGGGAGCTGGCAAGGTTTGACGTTGTAATCCGGGTGCTGGCAGCACACAGGTATTAAATTTATAAAAATTTATTGAGCTATACACGTGATATGTGCATTGTTTGTGTTTGGAGCATAACCCTGACAACGACAAAACCTTACGGGGTACAGGCAGGTTAAACCCCTAGAAATCCCTACTCGGAAAGCGCCTCGCACTGTTTCTCTGGCTGCTTAGAAGACAGACGGCTGGGCATTTAGAACCGAAAATCACAGGGACAGTTTCCTGGTGGAACCGCAGGGCTGCTACCAACTCTTGGCCCAACAGCATAAGAGGAAGGAGTGTTTGGCCATCAAAACCGTAGAAGAGAGGCCTACGCGGAGAGCGCCATCTTGAAAGGAGCTGTGACCTCGGTTGAGGGACGCAGCCTCCTGGAGACCTCGAGGGAGGGGGTGGACTCCCCGTTCCCCAGTGGCCCTCGGAAGCCAGAGGGCAGGGCGTCCACTGTCACCATCCACACAGGCCGCCTCCCAGGGACACAGGAAGGCGGAGGTGAGGGAATGGAGATCGGGAAGGGCAAACAGAAGCCTCTGGCACAGGGCCTGTCGGCCTGCGAGCAGGAATCGAGTGCCAGCTCTGCCACTTCCGAGTCATCCTGGAGACAAGTGGCGTCCCACTGCGAGCTTCGCCGTTGCCCTCCTGGGTGGCGATTCCTGGATGTGGGAGGGGCTGACACCAGCTCGTGCGTCAGCGGCGGAGCACGTGGTGGACACTCGATGAGCGGTAGCCGAGCTCGCCATCGTCGATGTTGGACAATGACGACACGTGAGCCAGAGCGAGCGGGCTGGGAAACTGGGGGAAAGTGCGGGGCGCACATGGCTGGGGAAACGGGAGAGCTGGGAAGCTGGAAGGGATCTCTGCCCAGTGTGGGCAGAGCGGACGGGAAGAGGATTTAAGAACACGGTTCTGCGAACATCAAACTCCCTTTCTTTCGCCTGAAAGGTCTGTCTCTTGATTTCGGCTTCTTCAGCAGTAGCCGCGCCTCACGTAAGTGGGACGTGGGAGGAGATACAGTAGCGTCAGGCCTACTGTGAGAACCGGGTGACATCGGGGATGTCGACTGGCGTGCCCCCCCCAAAGTCCGCTCTCTTCCTCTCTGGCGCGCTGTCGCCTAGAGAGAGAAGTGACATTTTCCAGCCTCCTTGCATCTCGATGGGGCTCAGAAATGAGGATGGAAGCAACTGCAAAGTCACGTCCAACTGGAAAACAACCCGGAATGCACCTGACGCTGGTGCCTTCTCCCTCCCACCGGCTCTAACCACACGGCTCAGGTCAATCCCAGGCCAGGGTTCTCACTGAGCGTGGTGCTGCCCCGGGGGACACTTGGCAACATCTGCAGAGGTATCTGCTTGTCACACCTGGGGGAGGAAGATGCCACTGGCCCCTAGTGGGTGGAGGATAGGGACGCTGCTAAACATCCACGACACACAGGGCAGTCCCACGACTAAGAATTATCCTGTCCGAAACGCCAGCAATGCTGAGAGTGAGAAACTCTCCCCGACGAGATGGCAGAGCAACGAGACGGAAGAGCCTCGATCCCTGAATGACTACATGGAACTGAGCTGCCCATCGGCCTGGACCAGCTGGACCGTGATATGGAAGAAACACACTTGTTTGTTATCTGGCCCTTTACATTTCTGGGTCTCCTCTAACAGGCTCTTAGCCCTCTTCCCGGCACACTGAAAAGGCTCAGGAAATGGCAGCTTTAAAAAAGACAGAAGGAGAGAAAAGATCCCTACTTGAAGGGGTGGGAAACAGAGCAGCAGAGAAGGGACAGGTCCAAGTTCGGCCAGAGATCAGGCGGGAGGACGGGGGTGGGGACGCACTGACCGTGATGGGGAAGAGCCTCCCGGGCACCTGCACCACGGGGGCACCGCCGAAGTAGCTGGAGAAGAGCGAGATGTTGATGGTGGCCGACATGAGGATGACCTTCAGGTCCGGCCGCTCGGGCAGCAGGCGCCGGAGGACGCCCAGGAGGAAGTCGTTGTGCAGGTGCCGCTCGTGGACCTCGTCCACAATCAGGACCTGGTACTGGGGCAGGCTGGGCTCCCGCTGCAGGTGCCTGAGCAGCAGCCCCACCGTCAGAAACACGATCTTGGTGGCCGCTGAACGCGTGCTCTCGAAGCGGATCTGGTAGCCGACCTGGGCGGGGGAGAGGGTGGTCAGGGGAGGACCCCGAGCCTGGGCGCCAGCCTTTCACCCTGCGCAGACCAAAACCTAAACCAGTGCCCCTGCCTCGACTCGGCAGTCTAACAGGTGTGGGTGAGAACCCTATTTCTGCTACCTAGTGCCGCTGACTCTGGGCAAGCAGTTCCGCCCCTCAGAGACATATACTTCTCCTAGATGCTGTGACAATTTTATGTGCTAATTCACATAAAGTATCTGGCACAGAGCCTGGTATGTGACATTAATTAATAATGATAATAAAAATCAGCCTTTCTTGGAGCCCTCACTACGTACCACCGACTATTCTAAACACTTTATGTCTATCGACTCAATTCATGCTCACAACCACCACAGGCTGTAAGAATAATTCTTATTTATTTATTTATTTTTAGGCGAGGCAACCCTTGGTTGACCTCACAGATTGCAAGGACCTTGTCAGCTTTCGATCCCTTATTTTTTATTTTTTACATCTATAGCACCTGGTCTTCCTAGGTGGTCTCCCATCCAAGTACTAACCAGGCCCGACCCTGCTTAGCTTCCGAGATCAGACAGGATCGGGCTCGTTCAGGGTACTGTGGCCGTAGACTGTAAGAATTATTCTCATCCTCACCTCACACATGGGGAAACTGAGGTCGCTCATCCAAGGTAACACAGCTAGAAAGTGGTACCTCACATCACACACACGCACACACACGCACACACACACACACACACACACACACACATTTCAGATGAATTACAGTTCTAAATGTAAGTTATTAGGAAAAAAAATAGAACATCTTCGTGACCTTAAAGTAAGCAAAAATTTCTTAAACAGATCCCAAAGACTGTCAACCAACAAAAGAAAATGACAGACTTGAAATAAAAAGACATCATCATCAAAAGACACCATTCAGAAAATGAAAGGCCATTCAGAGCAGGAGACAAAATTTGTGATACATAAATCCCACGAAAGGCTCTTACCCACAATCGATAAAGACCTATAAATCAAGAACAAAAAGACAGACAGTACAAAAGACAAACGGAAAAAGGCCGGAACAGTCACTTCACCAAAGAGGATCTGCCAACGGCCAGCAAATACATGGAAAGGTGTTCGACATCCTTACCGGAGAAACGCACATTAAAACCCATGCAGCAAATTAAAATCTGATACCATCACACATCCACTAGAGAAGCTAAAACGAAAAAGAGTAACGGTCACAAGCATTGTGACAACGTGGAATGTACCGCCGGTGGGGGTGCGAAACGGCAGGACCGCCTCGCCAAACGATTTGGCCGTTATCTACTAAAGCTAGACACATAGGCAGATCTGATGGCCCAGCAATCCCGCTGCTAGACACACGCCCAACAAAAACATGCACCAAAGACACCAAAAGGCAGGTTACGGAACGTTTAGAGCGGTGCTGTTCACGAGAGCTTGAAACTGGAAACACCCCAAATTCCCATCAGCGGTAGAAGGGACAAACACACGTGGTGCCATCACCGTGGGAAACCGTGCAGCGCCGGGAAGACACGCCACACACCTGCACGGACACGGTAGAAGAACCTCACAAAACTGAGGGTGAGCGCCAGAGACCAGGCTCAAAAGAGAACATACTTTTGATCCCATTAATAAAAAGATAAAGAGGCAAAAATAATCTGCGATATTCTATCATTAACGCAGGTGTGATCATCTGGCGCTAAGGTGATGATTTACCACTAAGAATAGTGATGACCCTGGGGGCCTCAAGGGAGTAACTAGAAGGGGAGACGAGAGGACTTTGCGGTGCTGGTAAGGCTGATGTTTTATCTGGGTGCACAAATATACTCGACTTTGGAAATTCAGAGCTATACACTTATGATACGTGCATTCCTTTGTGTTGAAAGTGTTCTAAATTCAATAACAACTTTTAAGTGGGAGAGCCAGGATTAGAACCCTAGAAACCATTAGTAAGGAAGTGTCCTCGTTCTTTTTTTATGGCTACCTAGAGAAAAAAAACGGATGAATCTTTAGGACGTTTTTTTTTACTGTTAAAGTGCCAAGCAGGCAGACCTCGGCGATACCACGGGCTCTGTCCTGACCCCCACGACAAAGCAAGTATGGCAGAAAAGTGAAATGTAATCTCTGCCGGGGGGCGGGGGGGGGCGGGGCTTGCCTCCAATGTGTTCAGAAAATGCGACATCTGCGGAGCACAGGAAAATCAAGTGAGACAAGACGAGGTCGCCTGTCCTGGGTGACGGTGGAGCCTGTCTCGCTGGGACCGCATCCAGGCCAATCGGCAGATAAATTTCTACTCCATCGAAAGGTAAGTGCTTTTGTAACTTCACGATCTGCCAGGGACAAGCACCTCGTTCCCCAAGGTCACGGGGAAAAGCTGGCACGCTGAAAGCTCTACTCACCTGTGAGCCATACTGACTGAGGCTCTCGAAGCCCACGCGCTTGGCCAGCGAGACGCAGGCGATTCGCCGAGGCTGGGTGCACGCCACGTGACTGAAGCCAGCGGCCAGCAGGTACTGGGGCACCTGAGTGGACTTGCCACAGCCCGTGTCCCCTGCCACCACCACCACCTGGTGCTGCTTCAGCGTCTTCAGGATGCAGTGGCCATACTGGGAGATGGGAAGCGCCGCCCGCTCACGCTGGAGTCTGGCCAGCCGCCCGAAGGCCTGCTTCTGGCCGAAGTCCAGGTAAT